AAAGGTTAAGATTTTAAATGGAGAAGCTGGGTGTATTTCCCACTCAGAGGTATTGGGCCCAGGATGCTGCTGATGGTCAATTTAAAGCCCACTAGGGTTTCCTTTATGTAGTGTGCATGTTTTCCTCCATTCATGTGCACTTGTGTAGCCCCTCATCCATGGTGTGGCTAGACTGTTGTAGACATCACTGTGAATGTAGAGACGGTCAAGACACAGGATCTGTGGTGATAGCAAAACTTTAATTCCAATTCTTTTCACCATTTCTACAGTGCTTCTTTTATAATCTTTTTCACACACTGTGCACACACCATGTTAATTACCTATTGATCAGTGATGTGGTAATGCTTAATTTATTGGTTAACAATTGTTTATATGTGCCCTCATTAACTATCCCAAAACGTTCTCTTCTTATCAATGCCTTCTTCATTCCTCTTAGGATGTTTGCCTCGTTATTTTCACAGATACAGACTAATCATCCTCTTTTTACAGACCTTTCTCAAAACATCTTTTCAACCTCATTAGTCTCACAGGTGCGGACTTATCTTGTCAAGGTCAATGTTGTTCTCCTTTGTGAGGCCTTCAGTCCAGCTGTCTGCCTTCACATGTGTCTTGGTCCCAAGAATGTTTTTTAGATAATTAAACTATAATATCCTGGGAGCCTTGTGCCCTGCACTAACATTCTTCTCTTCTGGAAGAACACGTAGTGCAGACTTGTTTTGGTAAGGATTTGGTCGTCTGTCATCTTTTTGGCCAGTGTGAAGCATAGATGCTTCAACATGACTTAAATTTTAATTTTTAGGTCCTTTCCAGCCATCCAAATCTATAGATGTAAGGTTAAAAGCCTCTTCTCTGTGCTAAGTGCTCCCTGGCAGCCTGTAATTCTTAAACTGTAAAATACATGTGGCTTTGAGGAATTCCTCTGAACTGTTCCTGCCAGTGCTAGGGTTCAAAATGAATCTTTTATAAATGTGGGCATTAATAAAAAGAGTTGCATCTTTGTGCGGTTCTCTTATAGAGAACCATCTTACAAGGCATAAAATACTGTCTTTTGATTTGGAGATTTTGCTGACAGCAGGACTGGCTTTGGCATCTCGTGCACCAGGTGTGAGTAGGATGCCATTTCACCAGTTTAGTCTCTTAATAGGAGTTACTCAGAAAATAGTAAGTCTGTAATCCTTAGCTTCAAGTATAGATGTAGCACTTTCTGACAGTAAGAACCTGAAATTCTCCTCAAAGTGCATTTATGCTGCATCCTTTGAATGACAGTTCAGTATACTCCTGGCAACTCTTTCATTTTAAACTGATGTTCTTTAAAGCCTGAAGCAGTCCTGTCTTCATAGCTAACCAAAATGATCTCCATCTCTTCTGGAAATAGTGCAACAAATTCGCTGACACTCATGACTCAAGAGCAGCTTTTTTGTTTGCTCCTCTTTTCACTGTTATGCTAGCTGCAACAGTACTGTGTATAAGCAGAAACCAATACAACATCCTGTTCAAATAAAAATACGATCATTGTGAACATTGTGATCATTTTTTCTTTTTTTTTCATTCTGTTAGGTTCTCATATTTTACCACCACCCTTTGTATGAGGAATACTCCTTCCTGTGGCCAGGTAATAAAATGCCAGCACCATGGGCTAATACAACTAATGTACACAAACTGTTACAGTTCCTGGAGACCACACTTGAAGAACGAAGTCGTTATGGGACTTTTCATGTTTCTCAAGCAATTCTCACACCTCGTGTGAAAACTATTGCACGGCATCTAATTCGTGGTCTGAAGAACACACTTGTTCAAAGGTAAGGACTTGGCTTGATTTCTCAGTTCTTTGCTGGACATGTTTCATGTTGAAAGAAGCACTGAGTAAACAAGAAACTCTGAAATGTTTGCTTAGGCTTGATGAAAGCAAGCAGTTTGGCTCAGTACTGTTGCTAGTGAGAGAGATGTTTAGTCATTAAAAATAAAGAATTATTGAAAATAATGAAGTAATAGGGTATATATGTAGCTATAAGTGTGTTCCCAGGTCATTGGAGCTTTTTCTGAGTGTGATGTGGTTTCCTTAAATATGGGCTGGATCTGTTGTTTCAAACTAGTAATTCATTCCAAACTGGCTGAACATAAATTTAGAGGGGAAAAAATCTTGTGCCATAGAGGAAAATTGCCTAATTCTGGGCTCAGTTTTTGCATTTGTCTATACAAATCTGTCTCAGTAATTTCAGTAATGGCCAGAGATGCATCACCTGGGGCAGTATTCAATCTTGGGGGCTTTTTTTTTTAACCTAAAATTAGATTTACATTTGACTTTTTTAATACTACTTACTGTTGCACAATTAATTTGCCTGGAAGAGGGTTTTGCTTTGAGTAGCTTCGGGTAGCTATGAGTTTGCTTTGAGTTTTGCTTGCGTGGCAGCAATTTTTAACAGGGTTAACAGCATGACAAGGATAGTTCCATGTGACTTTATTTTGTGGCATTATTGCCTTGTAGCCTGTTTGCTAAAAACTGCCAGAACTGTAAGAGTCCTGATGGGACCTGGTCTCCTGGCTCACTCTTTAATATGCCCTGTTTTGAAGTAACTGACAGTTCATCTTGTCATAATGATATTAAGTTCTAAATTACACTGGTATAGGTGGTCACAACTGGTCTAATTTGACCAGCAACTGAACTTAATGCTAAGCAGTGAGACAAACAGACATCTGTGGCAGCCAGTTCATGTTCCCTTTGGGAGAATCATTGGTCTCTTCAGAAGTAATTACAATATTACTGTTTCGAAGGGAAGGTCAATATCACTTATTTTCTTAAAAACACATTCTAAAAACAGTGAGTGTTTTTGCAGTCATGGAAGTTGATTATAGCAGTGACTGATAGAGAATAGCCCTTCTGGGAAGGACTTCTAGGTGCTGGTGGATTAGAAGCTGGACATGAGCCATCAGTATGTGCTTGCAGTCCAGAAAGTTGGCTGTTCTGGGTTGCATCCAAAGCAGCTTGGGCAGCAGGGTGACCGAGGAGGTTCTGCCCTTCTACTCTTGTGAGACCCCACCTGGAGTATTGCATCCAGCTCCCGGGTCATCAGCACAGGAAGGACATGGACCTGTTGGAGCAAGTCCAGAGGAGGGCCACAAAAATGTTTAGAGGGATGGAGCACCTCTCCTATGAGAAAAGGCTAAGAGAATTGGGATTGTTCAGCCTGGAGAAGAGCAGGCTTTGAGGTGATCTAATTGTGGCCTTCCAGTACCTAAGGACAAGCCTACAAGAAAGCTGGAGAGAAACTTTTTACAAGAGCATGGAGTGGTAGGAGAAGGGGGAATGACTTCAAACTGAAGGAGAGTAGGTTTAGATTAGATATTAGGAAATTTTTTACCGTCAGGGGTGGTGAGGCACTGGAACGGGTTGTCCAGAGAAGCTGTGGATGTCCCATCCTTGGAATTGTTCAAGTCCAGGCTAGCTTGGGCTCTGAGCAGCCTAGTCTAGTGGAAGGTGTCCCTGTGCATGGCAGGGGGTTTGGAGGTAGATGATCTTTAAGGTTCCTTCCAACCCAGGCCATTTTATGATTCTACGAAGAAAGAAAATTCCAGGTGAGGTATAAATCACAGAATTTTCAGTCACACTCCTGTTTACGGGCATTAATCTGGCAAAAATAAAACTAAATCTATCTGATATTTTATTTCTCTTTTGCAAGTCGAGGTCTGGGCTCTGGCGTGCTCTGCCCGGGGCTGTGCTGGCACTAGGTGGCACTCGAGGACTGAGCTGGAGCTTGTGTGGGAAAGCATCACCTAATTTCATGGAATGGGTGGGCAGTTCTGAATGACCCGTGGCACAGATCTGAGTTGTAAGCCGCTGGTAGCCTATCCCTTTTCCTTAGCCCCATCCTTACCAATTGTTTGAAAGTAAGCTGCAAACTGAAAATAGATGCTGCTGTTTGCTCAAGGATGATTGCTCGTATTCATTGACACAAGCTAGCTGATATGCAAATCTGTGTCTCCGCAGTTTTATGCAGATGTCTGCCTTCTTATATGGAAATTTTGCCCTGAATATAAACATTTAAGTGTTTTTGAGCTTTTGCTAAAGGAAAAATGTGTAACAGTCGCACTTAACTGGCTGAAGTCTTGTGTGTCCCTTGACAGGGATAGTAATTATACCTTCACTCAAGTTCTCTTTCCTCTATGTTCTTGACAGGTTGGTTTTATTATTTTTCTGGAACAAGAGCTGTGAGGTGTTTAGGCTTTTGGGGTGGGGTTTTTTTCCTTCTTCATCCTGTTAGCTAATTTGCTTGCCTACTATCTCCTCGAATAATTTTGTATATGTATTATGGCACTAATTTAAATAATGTTAATATATTTAGTCATTTGTCTCTAACTGCTAAAAACCCTGGTGTTTGCATGTTAGACTGCAGAAGAGCTGGTGCAGACCCCTGTCCTGCACTGTGTCCAATAAATTACTTGAAATTTCTCCCCATGGTAAAATTTCTAACTCCACTTAAGTCAATTCCTGACACACCTCACCTTTCTCTGGTTACAGTGATGCACAGCGGGATGTTCAACCCCTACAGAGCTGGTGGCTTGATTAAGGGTTTGCCTGATCCTGTTGTTCTGGGTGGGTCTGAAGGCTGAAAGAAATTTGGTAGAAATGCAGTTTGCTGTCTCCAACAACTTTTTTCCTACCTACCCTGAGGCAGAGGTGGGCAGGAAACATCTTGGGCCAGATACAGCCTTGTTCTGTGCTATACTGAAGTCTGCTGTGAAGTTTGCAATTTAACATGTTCTTAAAGCAAATCAGGATGAAGAAAATTAGTGCAACATTAAATCCTGAAGCACAGTCTGCTAAGTGAATACAGAGTTAACAGCTGTTTTTTTACATGCTAGTTTGGATTAATGAGTGACCAATATTTCTACTTGATCACTAATGACCATGTGCTGTGTTAAGCACTCTTCTGATCAGTCAGTTGCATTTTGGGTGGCAATCAGGACATAATCACACATATGAGATAATAGCATAATTTGTAAACAGCATGTTGTGTTTGAAATAAGTAGAATATGTATAGAGAAGCATCTCTTTTAGAATGTTTAATTTTGTTTATTTCAATTTCTTCAGGAACCTGCCCATGATTTTGAATTGGGTGAAAACACAGAAGCCTGGTGTTATGGGTGTTAACATAATTACATCAGACTTCGTGGAGCTGGTTGACTTTGCTGCCACAGTTATTGCATTGAACGACCTCCTTTTAGAAGAGGATGAATCTACCTCTAAGTCTTGATTGCTGTGTCCCACCTGTGGTCTTCAGTGAACATCTCTGAACTATGCTAAATGTTTTACTGGGTGAAAACACAGAAGCCTGGTGTTATGGGTGTTAACATAATTACATCAGACTTCGTGGAGCTGGTTGACTTTGCTGCCACAGTTATTGCATTGAACGACCTCCTTTTAGAAGAGGATGAATCTACCTCTAAGTCTTGATTGCTGTGTCCCACCTGTGGTCTTCAGTGAACATCTCTGAACTATGCTAAATGTTTTACTGAAAAATACACTGATTGCTGCATCCCACCTGTGGTCTTCAGTGAACGTCTCTGAACTATGCTAAATGTTTTACTTAAGTGAAAAATACTATAATCTCTGTGTAAAATAAAAAGAGTTTCCTAGAGAAAATGTGGTTAAACATCAGGTACAGTCGGGTCCCTTCTCCCAGTGATGTGTGGACCTGAGTGGAACAAAGTGCTGTGTGAGTGCTGCTGCTGTCTCTGTGCTCCGTGTTTGACTAAGTTATGCACACATCTGCTGCTGTCTGGTGTGGTTTCTGCCTGCCAACAAGAGGTTGGCCTCTGGTGCACATGTACCCAATTGTGGTGCACATCTCCCTGGTGACAGGGTTCAGTGTGCCCTTGTGTGCATCCTGCACATTTCCCAACACCAGGGCTCAATTCAAGGATCACTGCTGATCCCACAGCAGTGTGACCAGGTTGGCAGAGATGTTATTGTTTTGGGGCCATCTCAGGTATAGCTGGACTCAGCTGCTGCTGTGTTCATTATGCTGTTTTAGACAATACCTCTGACTTACAGTATTGCCATTGTTCAGGGGGAAGCTGTGAACACTGTGCTAAATATCTGAACTGTCCTTTGGGCCTCAAGGTGGAGGCTTGGCATGCTCATCCTCTTTGGAGCCCAAACGCTTCTTCTGGACCCCTTTATTTAACTTGAATGCTTCGATACATTTATTGCAACCATGTTTAAGTGTGTTTCTTTTGACATTAATCTGGAGATTATTTCAGTTTTCAAATTTTGAGGATTGTAATTCACAAGTCTGAATTCCTGTTGGGACCTTTGAGAAACCACAGAACAGCCTTTCTCTTTTGCTTGTTGGTCACTCGGGGATTTTTTATCCCTCAATTTTTTCTTTAGGGAAACTCTTTCACCCAGATGGCCTTTCTCTGGAAGGAGATAAGCTAAGTGGGGGATTGCTTGATATTCAAAGAACTGAAGCTGAGAGGGACTGCTCAAAGCCCAAATACTGGATCTCTGATTTGTGATGTGACAGTGAATTCTGAAATCAGACCTGAAAGTTGTGCTTGCAGACAGGGAGCCACAGCTATGGGAAGGAAATTTCTCCAGCCTACACCTGCTTGTGCCAAAGTAGGCAAAAGTCACATAAGCACAGGCAAGTGTCAGTGCTGCTTCTTTCTGTAATCATGCTCATTTTGGTGTTATTTCACAACAAAATGTGACCATATGTGTTTGAGCCAATGCAATCATATGCTGGTACTTATCAGCACTTAATTTACCGGCTGATAGCAGTCCTACAGTCTGATTTATCTTTGGGTGGGGTTTGTTTTTGTTTGTGGGGTTTTTTTGTGTGGTTTTTGGTGTGTTTTTTTCCAAGAAAACCCAACAAAACAAAGGAAGTGACTCATTAGCAGATATTCTGTGCAATCATCTTCCTAAAGCAACCATTGGTGCAGTAATATTATGAATTATGAATTTGTATTAATGTCTAAGCTTATTTATAATAACATGGATAGTTTTAATTCATCTTTTACTCATATTTTATTCAGAAGAACACCAAATCTCCAGATTTAATGTTTCATTATCGTATCCTGTGTCTGCCATCATAGCCTGACAGCTGAAGAAAATCCCAAACCTCTTTGCTTGCTTGTCACAAAAACTCAGGACAAGTTTATCTAAAGGTTTGCAAACCTTCCATGCGAAACTTGGCCGAGTTTCGAGCAGACTATAATCTGATTTGTCTGTTTGTTGCATGGTTTTCATGACAGTTCCTTGAATTTTTTAACTGAATCTTTTTTCTAAGGGAGTCAGGGGTGAGTGGGTGCCTGTCACTCAAGCAGTCTTTATCCTTTCCTCTTATGTTCCAGTGATGGGGGACAAGTCGTGAAAAGCATTATTTTAGGAACTAAGCTCAAATTTCTAATTTAATGCTTCCTTTGAAAACCCCAGCAAAAGGTTTTTATTATTATTGGGTTTGTTCTTTTTTGTTTGTTTTTGTTGATGAAACTGTTGGAACCTGTTTTGAACAGCACTGTTTTGTCTGCAAATTTCTTTAAAATACCTGGAATTTCCTTAGATGAAGTTTGTGTTGACCTACTTCACTCATGGCCCCAGCTGAAACTTCATGATAGTGCTACATGCAGGGGTTTGGTTTCAGTGGTCTTCTTGCTGCAAATTGTCTTAGAGCTCGGAACTCAGAAAAACTTGCCTTGAATGCTGATGAGGCAGAAATAATATATTTGCAAGATTTCCTGCAGAACTGGAAGACAAGGTGAGAAGGTGAAGTGAGTATGATGTTTGCATTTGACCCTTAATGCATTTTGTACTGTATATATCTACCTCAAAAGGGATTTATCAGGCTTGACCAATATTTATACTGTGCATGCACAGTAATGACTGTGGTGTTAGTCCTTCTGCTGTATTTATTTGAATAGAGACAGGATGATTGTAACTCAGGGCTTTGGTTTAAGTGCAAACTCAGAAGTTTCCCTAATGTATTTGCTCTTAGCTCTTGGCTCTTGAAATAGACAAAGGCATTCGAGGTGTTAAGGCTGTAGCAGAGGGAGAAGAAATGGAAAATAGCTTTAGGATTAATGATTAAGTACATGCGTGGGGAGAACAACGTTTCTGTAAGCTTGGCCTGTCTAAAAAGACTTGTGTGTCATTTCAGAGCAGTGCTTGCTGTTATGCCTCTAAGTGAGGAACCTGACATGCTCAAAAACTGAGTTGGTCAATTGGCAGATAACACTTGTCTGTGACAGGGTATTTCCTGTGGGCAATATTAATGCTGGTGTTTAGAATTGGTCCTAGAGTAGTCCAAAACCATCCTAAGCATTAAAAACTGCTTTTCTTCTATTCTGTTACACAGAGTAAACTACTCATGTATTTAGGCTTATCTCCATCACAACACCAAAACATATCCAGACTTCCTCATGCTTTGCAAAGTGAAGCTCATCTAGGTTTGGACTTTGGGCTGTTTACTCTATTTTCCTGCATGACAAAATTAAAAGGTGTGCTGGACAGGAAGGGAGGATCAAGGAAGCAGGGCAGTAGTTTGCATCCAGTGCCCACATGGAAGGTGTGGCAATGTTTAGCCCAGTTTCGGGCAGCGGCGTGGAGCAGGTCTGGGAGGTGAATGACAGCACTGCAGCTCATACTGAGACACTCAGACAAGAGACTAGCCTCTGAGTGATTTGCCCCTAAGTTCAGTATAAGCAGCTTACAGCCTGCAAGGTCAGGGATGTGTGAGCTTGAGGAGAATAGATTGGAATGAGTGCAGAAGGCTGGAGGTTTCTTGCTGTCGATGTAGATGCGTATCTGGTGAATACAGTGTGTTAGTCTTGCTTGTATATCACCAAAGTAGTAGGATTCACTTTTAAACAGTCTAGGTAGAAAACTCCCCCAGAAGAATTGTTCTGACTTCTTGACCATTTGGTAGGTGTTGAGAGGAAAGTCAGGAAACTGGGAACTGCTCGAGGCAAAGTACGTGAACTGTGTGTTCTTGAATAATTACTCATACGGTTTGCTATTACAGATTCAGGTTACTTATATTTTGGTTTATGACTGTTTCTCTTCCTAGTGCACAATCACAGAGTGCCAAGCACACTGTGGCATAAAAAACTGCAATGTTCAATTCAAGGGCATATTTGAGACATGTTAGAACTGTGTGTATATCTGAAGGGAAGTAGTAGGGAGATGGTTGTCACGGAGCATATATGAGTTTTCATCCTCTGTGTCCTTGTAAGTGAAAACAAAAAGGAATTATTACTAGATTTTGCAGACTGACAATCTCTTGGTTTCTTGGTACCTCTACTCCTAACACATGCTGTTTTCAGCTAAGTTGGTACTGACTTAGCATGTTGGAGTTGAGAAAGCACCTGTGCTGTAAGGTCAGAGAAGCACTTCTGAGCAAGAATTTTGGCTCAAACAGAAGTAAGGCTTCTGCCAAGATGCTTATCTATTGTTCTCATCTGGCTAAGCATGTGGAAATATTTTCTTTGCATATTTGTCTCAGGTGTTAGAGTTCATTGTTGTATCATCTAGTAGACCAGGGTTTAGGACTTCAATAAATAGAGAACGTGGCTATTTTGATTTAAATTTGAGTTACCCATGAACATGTGACTTGAAGTTTACCTGAATATGCACTGTTTAATGCAAAATCCCTATGCAGTTTTAGTAAGGTTTTCATCTGTACATGAACATATTGTTACCAATCCATAATAAGCAAATTTTTGGTCAGGGAAATCACTGAGACAAAACTTCAATTTTTCAGTAGCTTTTTAAGCACAAAGAAATTGTCTAATATGAGGAACAGAACTGATGCAAAACTTCATTCAGAGTTCATATGAAGTCAAAATGCAGTCTTTTGGCAGTGGAAAATAAGATTCTTATTTATCTTTTTTAATTTGCTTTTCTATCTTTGACAAATTCTTATTCCATCTTTGGTTTTTGACTCAACAGATGGGTAGAAGAGCCAGAGCATATGGTGAAGAGCAAATAAATTTTATGCTAAGGACATGTATGTAGTACTAACTGTGGTAAGACTACAGTGATTTACTTAATCACACCTTTAATTGTAATCCTATTAGCTGTTTGGTTTATGTTGTTAAATCAGTCTCTATTTTGTGTTAAAATAATCAGTCCCACTAATTCAATACATCTGTCCTGTTGAAGTGTGTGTACTTCTGTAAGAATATTTATTTCTCTACAAATCTTATCAAGTAAACAAGCTTTAACTTTTGATGGTAGGGACTGTAATAGAAACCTCAGCTTTAGAACTCTGTGCTGAATCTGGTTATATTTTATATATTCCTGAAT